CTGCTGAAGACACAGACGTCCATCCCCGTGAACACTGGGACGCAACTCAATGGGAAAGGAAATGATTCTTATTTCAACCGTTGCGTATTTTAGCTGCGACATAAGAATCAAGATGCTATGACCGAAAAAATTAGATTGACAAATGACCGTTGATATATGATTGGCCGAATTTAGGTGTTCAGGCTCACGTATAACTAATTGGCTTTTGAAATAGAAATTATAAAACTTTTGGAACAATATAGTCTGATAAAGAGTACATTTATATACATGTTTAAGCCAGAATGGTTTGACATTTAAATATGATTTCCCTATGACTTCAATCATAAAGCAAGTCTGAGGCTTTTTTAAACCCACTGACACTGGCTTTAAAAATTCACAGATGATTTTCTTACAAGTGAAGGTCTGACAGGGGCAGATGTGGGTATTTATAGCTCATATTATTAACTAAAGAACTATAAAGTTGGCTCATAAAAGCTCTACATATCCTGTTTACTTATGATGCATATCTCTAACTATCATTCATTTTTACTGCAGTTATAGAAACTCAACCTTACATTTCCACAAAGTTTAAGCTGATTCATTTGGTGTCTTAAGTTTCCACTGAGCTCAGTGAGAAATACAGGATTCTGGTTCAGTGTGACAGTAGCAGCAGACACCTGGCTCAGCAGATCACACTGAGGCAGAAACCATGGCTTTGATAAGCTGCCATTGCTGCCAAGTCATAACAGCCACCTCCATGCAGAGAGGTTTACTTTATGTCACCATTGTAAAACAAATAGAGCTCAGTGAGGCTGATGAAGGTGCAGCCATGTCCCTCAGCTGTTTGCAGAACCAACCAACCAACAGGAAATGGTTTCTATTGATTTTCAGCCAGCTGCAACATCTGTTCACTAATTAGGAGGAGGGGTCAAAAGTACAGAAAGGTGATGCTTCCTTTTCTCTTGGAGAACAAGCTCCAAAGTGTGTTTACATGTTAAATATAAACAGTTATTTAAAAACAGTTAAACTAAATATTGTTTGTTTTGTAATTTGAACTGAGGGCCATGCTGCATAGTGAGAAGGAAGTGTGAAACAAGCACCACCCACATCAAGAAGCTTACCTCTTTAAGCAATAAGAAAAACAAAATAAACAGTTCGGTTTCCTTTTGTTTCTTTAGTTGTTTTTTCTTCTGTCCAGTAAGGTGTGTGGTTAATTTAAGCGGCTGTAAGGAGCTCCTCGAGGGAAAAAAATAAAACCAACC